TGTAATGACTATTGTCGATAAAATGAATGCAAGTAACTCTTCTGCTTATTTGATTGAGTCTTCCAATTTATGACATAGTAGACTAGGTCATGTTAATTCTGATTCGATGCGTTGATTAATTAACTTAAACCACATTCCAAATTGACTTAGGAAATAAATGCGAAATTTGCGTCGAAGCAAAGTTAACGAGGTCATCTTTTCAAACGGTTGAAAGGAGTACTGAACCACTTGAATTAGTTCACAGTGATGTTTGTGATTTGAAATCGGTTTAAACACGAGGTGGTAATAAGTATTTTATCACGTTTATTGATGATAGCACGAAATTAAAAGGTAAAGACGAAGCATTAGAGAAATTCGTTCTCTACAAAACCGAAGTTGAGAATCAACTTAGTAAAAAGATCAAGAGATTGAGAAGTGATAGAGGTGGCGAGTGTGAAGCACTGATTGGTGTCTTTTGTGCACAACATGGAATTGTTCATGAAGTGACAGCACCTTATTCACCTCAATCTAATGCGGTTACTGAACGGAAAGATCGCACATTGAAAGAAATGATGAATGCGATGTTGTTAAGTTCCGGCCTACCTTCCAATATGTGGGGAGAAGCCGTCTTGTCAAGTAATTACCTATTAACTAGGGTTCCCTGAAAGAAAGAAGACAAGACTCCATATGAATTATGGAAAGGAAAGAAACCATCCTACAAACACTTGCGAGTGTGGGGGTGTCTAGCAAAGGTAGTTGTACCTCCGCCAAAGGCAATAAAAATTGGGCCTAAAATGGTCGATTGTATTTTTATTGGCTATGCACAGAATAGTAATGCATATCGGTTCTTAGTGCATGATTCGAAGATTTCGGATATACACAAGAACACAGTTTTGGAATCAAGAAATGCATCTTTCTTTGAAAATGTGTTTCCTTACTAGACTAAGGATGAAGATAGTTCATCAAAACGAACTCATGAAGAAGTTCATGATTCGGTTGAGGTTCAAGATGTTGAACCAAGACGGAGCAAAAGGGCAAGAGTAGAGAAATCATTCGGTGATGATTTTGTAACCTATTTGCTAGAGAGAGAACCTCTAACTTACACTAAGGCAGTAAGTTCTTCTGAGGGACCTTTATGGGAAGAAGCCATAAAGAGTGAGGTTGATTCAATTTTACAGAATCATACTTGGGAGCTTGTTGATCTCCCACCTGGACGGAAACCGTTACGATCTAAATGGATCTTTAAGAGGAAAATGAAACCTGATGGTTCCATTGATAAATACAAGGCCATGCTTGTAATCAAAGGCTATAAACAATGAGAAGGTTTAGACTACTTTGATACATATTCTCCTATGACGAGAATAAATTTCATAAGGATGATACTTGCTATCGCAGCCTTAAGGAATTTGGAAATACATCAAATGGATATTAAAACAGCTTTCTTAAATGATGATTTAGATGAAGAAATCTATATGGAACAACCCGAGGGTTTCCAAGCTCCAGGAACAGAAAAGAAAGTTTGTAAACTAGTAAAATCCTTGTATGGTCTAAAGCAAGCACCTAAAAAGTGGCATGAAAAATTTGACATGTAATGATTACTAGTGGATTCAAAATTAATGAGTGTGACAAATGCGTTTATGTCAAGGAGATAGAAAACGATTATGTCATATTATGTCTATATGTAGACGATATACTCATTGTTGGTAGTAGTGACAAGTTGGTCAAATCTACCAAGAACATGTTAAACTCTAAGTTTGATATGGAAGACATGGGTCTAGCTGATGTGATTTTAGGTGTTAAAATCATAAGGACAACATATGGTCTAGTTTTGAGTCAAGCTCATTACATAGATAAAATTCTTGATAAGTTTAACAAGAATGATTCTGAGGTCGCGAAAACACCATTAGATAACAGTGTCCATTTATCCAAGAATCGTGGATAGGGTATAGCTAGGTGGAATACTCTCGGATAATATGAAGTCTTATGTATCTAATGAGTTGTACTAGACCAGATATTACTTATGTGGTAAGCAAGTTGAGTTCATACACGAGTAATCCTAGTGTTGAACACTGGACTGCTATAATTAGAGTATTGAGGTATCTAAGACATACTCGTGATTATGGACTGCATTGTACCAGATATCCATCTGTGTTGGAAGGTTACACGGATGCCAATTGAATATCTGATATAAAGGACTCACACTGCACAAGTGGCTACGTGTTTACACTAGCTGGAGCAGCTGTGTCGTAGAAATTCTCAAAACAAACTGTAATAGCCAGATCCACAATGGAATCCGAGTTCATTGTCTTGGATAAGTGTGGTGAGGAGGCTGAATGGCTACGCCATTTTTTGGAGGATATTCCAAAGTGAGAAAAACCTGTGTCACCTATCAGTATTCATTGTGATAGTCAATTGGCGATTGGAAGGGCACATAGTAATATGTACAATGGTAAGTCGAAACATATTCGTCGTCGACACAATACCGTTAGACAACTCCTCTCAACGGGAATTATCACAATTGACTACGTGAAGTTAAAGGATAATCTTGCGGAACCGCTAACCAAAGGGTTAAATAGAGAGGCAGTTGAAAGATTGACCAAAGGAATGGGTGTAAAGCCTGTGAAGAAATAAAAGTCTTAAGAAGGAAAACCCAACCTAGTTGACTGGAGATCCCAAGATGTAGGTTCAATGGGACAACCTAATCATAAGACGTAGTGTGGTCACTGTAGGGGTAAACCTCAACTCATTCCTGTCATCAAACAGTGATATGACGGAAAGGATAGCAAACGGTTGCTTTAATGATACTTAAGTGCGTAATTTCATTTACTCTAGACTTAAGAAGTCACCTATGTGAGAGAGAAGTGGGGCCGCTTCAAAGGAGAACTGTTAAGGCTCAGTTCTTTAGAAACGCTTGCAGAACCAGGACGTGTTAATGGCCAAAATGGACAAAACCATGAGAACGAAACTAAATAGAAATGGTTCCTGTGTACGGTACGTGGGTTTCTTTACACAATACAGCCGGACAGTTCAAGGACATCGCGTCTACTGGACAGCTAGTAAGGCAAACATACTTTACAAGGAGGAAGTTCAAAGGGTAAAACATACTTTCTCTATACAGGGATCAGTTAGTGAACACCATCATCGTTTAATCGAAACAATATCTTATTCATGTGGGGGATTGTTGGAAATAAGTGAATGAGAATTAAGTTTCTCAAGAGTTGAAAAAATTAGAGTTAAGGCTAAGGGACTTTGTCCCACATAGGTGTTGGGAAGACTTGGAGCTCACTTTATAAGTGAGAGCCCAAAATTGACTTGCAAGTTGACTTGCCAATACTATACCACATCTCTCCCGCTCGCGTGCGCCCGCGCAGGGGGGTGCAAATGGAGGTCCGATTCGGGGCCTAATAGCTTAATTCATGTGTGTGCACGACCTGCGGACATGAATGCCGAACCGAACTCTAGCGGGCCCGATCAACCCACGTTTTGCTCCGGTTCAGATTAATTTTTTCCAGCTAAAATTTTAACGTGGAGATTTATGTTCATTCATTTCAGTCAAAGAGAAAACTAAAACGTTACAATTAAATATTGCTGTTGAATGAGCAAATGAATGGCGGATTTAATACCGTTTAAATGGCATAATGAATTCTTTTGACTGTTTGATTGTCAAAAACGTTTTGAATTTTTGCTGTCATTTCAAAGGTTTCTCCAGCCTATAAATAGGCACTCATTTATACACACCGATCCTTCCTCCTCTTTCAGTATTCTTTCGAGCCTTTCTTTCTTTCTCCTTTTGTTTCGATGTTCATCAACGTGTTCTAAGTTTCGTTCGCTGGTAGAACTTCTTTGTGCTAAGTAGTTTCTACGTTTCTGTTGTATCCTGGGAAATAGTTGCTCGAGATCCTCAAGCACCATAGGAGGAGGCAAATCTGTTTTAAGGAGATCGTGTTTTCACGAGCCTCAAATTTCTTCTTCTTCCGCTTTTCTTTAGCCTTTGCGAATACTACTCATATTTCGACCAACACTTATAACTGATCTGATACTTGAATTTGTTTGTCATGACTCATAAATCAGGGCATTGGTTTTCTAGTGATCATCGAGCTTGCAAACTACTAGACTTTGAAATGGTTTTGTAGCTTGTCATGACTCATACAAGGGAAGGGACCACTTTTTTCAAACTGAGGATTCTTAATGCTCTGGTAGCTTAGCAGGAAGAAGATTGTGGAAGTGTGCAACGTAGTCCTAGCCAGATAGCTTTGAGAGGCATACTGAACTTGAAACTGAAGTAATCAGCCCAAGGTTTCTACTTTTTCCCTGATTATTTGGGGCAGGATTCCATCATTTGAATATTTTTTTAGTTATTTACCTCAAATTCACCCTTTTTGTTTGTTTGAATGCCCGGTGCCTTCTAAAGTGAGAAATGCAGAAATGGGATGTAATGTGTTTGGTCAAGGAAACAAAAATACTTCCAAAATAGTCCACATTTGAGTTTCAAATTTGTACAGGAGTTAAAAAAAATTAAAAATAATCCGCAAGCTGAAAAAATCTCTGAGGTTTATTAACTTGGTCGTCGGGTAATTTATCTCAACTATAAAGTCGACAAAAACATACACAATAAATAGATGTTCGTAGACTCATGCGATCGAGTTAAACATCTCAACAATTAAGTCGAAGACAAACCTTCTAAAGCCTGCATAGTTTTGCTCCTTTTTTGCAACTTCAATATGTAACGCTTCTTCACCTCAAAAGAAGACTTTCCATTAACTGTCAAAAGAATCTCGTAGTCTTAAACTTCGTTTATTTGCTAAAACTAAAGGAGTCCACATTGCTAAAATGTGTTCTATTTTTCTAAAATAGAAAAGTACTAATTTATACTTACAAACATGGATTCCCGGTATGGTTATTTTCATTTGGGATTTCTTTGTGTGCCCGTGCGTCCTTGTTGCAGCAAATAAGGCAACTTTACCAACCAACCCCCAACCCCCAAAAAAAAAAAAGAGAAGTGGACTATTTTTTTTTTTTTTTGGTGATGGAGAGTATGTTATATACATTCCTTATAAAAATGAGCACCAGTCATCAATCAATCAATAATGAATGAGCACAATACATAAAAACGCCTAGACAATACAAAAACTAGATTCCTCCAGAACTCTATTATGTAGCAGATGATTAAACAATATCTGTAAGTAATCATACCTATGTATGCACATATGTATCCGCACCCCAAATCAATGAAAACCCAACTAAGGAAATGTAGAGCTCAATCTTCCCCCCAACTTTCACTAATCTGATATGATTCACAACTGTCTTCAACAGCCCAGCCCCATCTTCATCCATGATGCTTCCAACATTTCACTGGCAAAAAGGACATTATCACCGCCCAAATTCCGCTATGCCTCTCCACTCTCACCATCTCACATGCCTCTCATTCACAAGTGGAAGCCATCTTTGAGTTGAATCAGCCTCACAGTACCATCTCCGCCACATGTGAGGAAACCATGAGAACATGCCTGAATATCAGTAACACCCGCCTGCAGAAGAGGAAACATTGACTGAGTCCTGCTTTTTCCCTCTCAAAATAAACAACAATTATGTTTTGGAATTAAAATTACCCGAACTACTCCCCCAAAACCACGGGAGCTTGGTTGCAAGAAAGTGTGTCTTTCATGCAGCCTCGGCCAATGAAATATTAATCTGGCTCTCTTTGCGTCCCAGAGTTTTACATCTCCGTCTTTACTGCCTGTCAAGAAAAAACTGGTATTCGGAATGGTGCACACTTTGGTAACACTACCTTCACGAAGGAAAAAAGAAAGGGAGAAAAAGTTAGTAGACAAACACAGCAGATCGAGTAGACAAAATCAAGCACGGGTGTCAATTTGTGACCTCACGTGCTAACCCAAAATTGACATGTTCCTACGCCACAGACACAAATACTACCTTTTGTTTCACGGGTAGCAGTTGCACAAACATTGACATGAAAATTGAGACACATAAAAACTTGAAAATATGAAACCCAGTCTACAGCAGCCTCCATCTAGAAGAGAATGTTTCAAAATACCTGTATGAGCCTTGGGTATATACCACAGCATCCCATTTCGATTCTGATCCCCTGTTTTGGTCTGCATTTCCACTGTTGTGGACAAATTACCATGTGGCTCACTAATATCGTTGTGCTTGTGCTTTTTTGTCCTTCCTGTAGCTATGTAGCGGAAGTCATGAAGTCCAACATCGCCAGCTTTTCCACCAGTGGCAATAAGGGGAGAAACAGAACCACTTCCAAGATTATTATCAAACACAGAAAGAGAGCGTGTACCACCTAAAGAACAACATATACCATACCTCTCTTAGATGTACATATGGTGTCAGAATGTTAATAGAAATTTCAAACAAATACATGTACAATGCAAACCCAGTGAACGTACAAGGGTTAAAAGATAAGAATTTTATCTGCAGTCGAAAGATTTGAGGACTATGCATATCATTAACTGGATGAATTGGTACTCAATTTTCCAGGCCATCAAAGAACAACTTTTAATAACTTTGTCACAACTGGCAAACTTTCACAGAAGGAATATTTTCATTTTTAAGATACTTGGTCCATAAAACCAATTGGGTAATTTCGTTTTCACGTATCCTTTACTTTTTATAAAAAATGAATGCTTTTCCATTAGTGTTTCTGTTGCACATTAGCAATCTGTCCTCAAAAGATAACAAATCTTTGTGAATCTGATATTAAGCCTCAATGCAAGAATTGCTTCATAAGTTAAAGCATTGTTGTGGATAAGATAAAAACATTGTTGTGGATAAGATAGGCCACAAGCAAAACACTAATAAGTTGCGTGATTGTTCCAAGGTTCAGTATGAACCCAAGGAAGAACTTAGGCAATTGAATAGTTTTCTTAAGCTCTTTAAGCTTAAATTCAGGAAGTTTAGTAATTTTCAGTAATTTAGACTATTTCAGTTATTTTGCATTGCTGCAGAATTCTATGGAGTTCCAGGTTTTTGGTCTTAGTTTCCTATTTGGATTCCAGTTTAGGTCAGTTGTGGGTAGGATCACTGCGGCGTGACACCAAAGGTTCAGACCCTAAGGGTGATTCTTAGGGATTTCAGTAGTTGTTTCCTGCTATTTTACTAGACGTTCTCAATATTTGTTGCCTTCTACCTATTAACCAACCTAAGGTCTGATCTCATAACCACCCCATTTTGTCCTACGACAGCATTAAACTAAATCTTTCCCAATCATTGAGCTAGCTAAAATCATACCTTCATGACACATAATGGACGCCCTTGAAGTGGCATTAGGGGCAAGTGTATCCCAGATAACCACATTAATGCCAGTTGAGCTGTATCCCGCAGCTGCGATGATTGACCCACTAGGAGTAACATAAGTGACATCCCTACAAAGGAGAATAAGATATGAATGTAGTCGCAAAACTCTGCCTAAATCCCCTCACAAGTAACCAAGTTCAAGAACATACAATGTGTGATTGTCAAAGCAGACGGCAGATTCTGTGGGTCCCACATTGCTCCTTCCTCCAACTTCCAGCTGCCATGTGCAAATGGTTCCATCCAATGCACCAGTCACGAATCTGTGTCCACACTTGTCAAACCTTACTGCTGATATGGATGCAAGCGCATATGGAGGAGGAACATTTGCAGCAGGGAGCACGCCATAAGTAGCAGTTGCTCTGTCCTTACCAAACTGAAACATTGTTCACAAAATTTTAAGGCATGATGCTGAGTAAAATAACAAAATATCCTCAAAAGTTGACCTACAAAAATTAGAACTACCATATTCCATTTGACATTGGAACCAGACAAATAATGAAGCATTTAATAAGATTTTCTTATGCCAGTGTGAAATAATAAGATACACTAATCAGACCAAATCAGTGCAGGAATTATGCAAGAACTTGCAAATCAGAAAATAAAGAATCGGTTGCAAAAAATCACTACGTAATTTCTAAAGCATAGGACAAACTTTTCTCAACTTTCTCGGCTTTTCCAAATGGGAAAGGATTGAAGTTAACTCAAAAATTCAGTAACAAAAAACCTACTTAGAGTATAAATAAGTCACAGAGTACAGGACTTTTTCCCTAAATCAATATAAGATTGTTATATCCAAATCTACCAAGGTTTCGATGTTAAAAGCAAGGCCCTAAAAGATTAGGCAAAAAAATGCATACAGCCAAGTCTTTTGTTGGAACTACCTACCTCCCATAAGTACACATGAGTATTACTGGAACCAACCAAGAATAGTGGCATTGAAGGATGAGCCGAGAATGAACTAGAGCTCACGCTCCCAATAGTCGGAATTGGGTCAGCGAACTGTTCAAAATCTTCCTGTATCCCCCAACCGAAGCTGGACACACCCATGCCGGAATAGCCAGATATTACAGAATTCCTTTGCTCTCTAGCCGGTCTCATTGAAAGACCTGCACCAACAGTTGCTCCACCCAGACCTAAATGTGTTCCCTTCCTGCTTCCAAGACCAACTCCGGGATATACACAAGTTGGAACAGGTGTTGATTCAGATCCAGCCCACCCATTGTGTGGCCAGTCAGCATCTGCCCAGATATATTCAGATCCATCTTGACCAAGTAGCCCATCCTCCCAGTGAAAGTATATTATTCCCTAGATTTCATAAGATAAATCTCAAATGAAGGACGAATGTCTAAAATGGAGACATGGATTGTCCCAGCTCAATGAGAATAATAAAACAGCAGAAACAATCCAACAAGTGACAGCGAATTTCATTTATGGAAACAAGCAGCTTCAAGGTACTTCAGTATCAGACCAACCTATATGGTACCCCATACATAAAAAATTGTTGAAAAAGAAGAAAATTTTCAAAAGAAGAAGAAATTAACATAGGTATCTTCCCACCTCAATGAGAGTTAATAAAACAAAAGAAACTATCTGATAAGTGATTATGCAAAAAAGTAGCTACAAAGTAATACAGTACCTTCCTGCTTGTGGCAAGGGCAGCTTGATGCTGATCAATGGAGTTGATGCACAAGGCCTGCCAATATAGGGTATACTAGTTTGAGAATGAGTCCATACAAATTCTCACTAATGTAAATAGATCATTCGCAGCGGCAACAGGATGACAAGAAGATCTTAAGGAAATAAAATTTACCTCCAAAAGCTCTCCAGTTCTTTTATATATTTCTCTGGGGCTATCAAAGGGAACGACCTTTTTTGTGTCATCTCCTCCAGAACTTAGAAAAGGATGATCATTCGGGGTAAGACACGCAATAGGTGATCCAGCATCTTTTATTCTATCTTCTTCTTGACCATTTTCCCCACCGTCACAGTTGTTCAGGATACTTGTATACACCTCACCCCAAACTCGGGAGGACTTGTGTTTAAGACATTCAAACCATTTCAAGTTTTCTTCAATAAAACCAGGAATTGTTTTTGGATCAGAACAGATACGCCAGAAAATATTAGAAGCTCTCTCTTCGGTTTCATTCTTTAGCATATTTTGCTCAAATCTTTGCCTAGAATAGTCCGATGGGGAAGAAGGATCAGTATGACTATCATCTGAGCTTAAAACAATAGTCACAACCCCTGCATCTCCTTTCAGCAGCAGGTTTGATACTAACTGTTTTGCACAATAAACAGAAATATGTCCGCATGTAACATCTATGAGCTTAGAGAAAGGTAAGAGTACTGTACGCAACTGTATATCACTCTCTGCTCCCATTTCTCCTGAAGATATAACACTACAGCCCTCTTCCATTTTTTCCCCCAACAATTTTATCATAGGTTCGAGAAAACTCAATACTTGGCCCCAAAGAGAACAGCATATAACCAACCATCTCTCTTCTTCTGGTAATTTCGTCATATAATCTCCTGGAAGGTTATGTAGCATCTTTTCATCTAATTCAAATGCCTGTACACTCTTGAAGAAAATATCATCTACCACAATCTTCCTAACCTCATAAAGAATATCTTTCAAGTCCTTTATGATATCATTAGGAGAATATCGTCCTTCAGTGTATCTAAGTAAAAGAGGTTTTGTGATCAAAGCAAGGCCTCTTAAGTTGATTTGGTTCCAGGCCGATGTAAAATATACAAAGTATTCTGCTACATCAAGAACCCCAAATATTACGTACAAGAAATCTTCTGCAAGAGAACCGGAAAAAACCTTTACTGAGGCTCTTAGAGACCATAATGACTGCAGCAAATCACACTGGTAAACCTCAGATGCTCCAGGTCCCTGATATTGTCTTTTGGTAGCTGCCATATTCTTTTTGTACCAAGATGTTGAGCGAGGGCATGCTACAACACTAGAAACGATATATCGTGAAACTATGGAAGTTTCTCGGAAAGCCCTCGATCTTAATCTGGGAAGGATACCATATGGAATAAAACCTTCACATTTATAGTCTTCCATTGATGAAACACATCTGGATATGCATGTAACTAACATGTGGTACCCAACAAATTGAAGGCCATTGCTATTCAAGAATAGCATGATCTGTAGAGTAAGTTTTGAAACCAAAACATAGTCAATGACATCAGAAGATACAGAGAACAAAGCAGAACCATCACATAAATATCGGCAAAACTTTGTACCTTGTTGATCAAATCAAAAGTGTCCAGAGTAAATTTCTGCTGGAAGTATGTCAGCGTTACGGTTACTTTATCAATAAACTCATTGACCAACCTTTTGTATTCGTCATTCTCAGGCTCCATGTATGTAGATCTACCAAAACATACTGTATTAATGTGCCTCCAACTAGGGTGTTCCTTCAACAATTGTGACACGTAGTTCATGGCAAATTCAGATTTAGCCTGTAGCTCTTTATGCTTAGCGAAATCACTAGAAATCCAATTTGAAGACTTCCCATGAGGAGATAACTTCAAAACTTCATGCAAAAGTTCGACATGTCCACTTTCAGATACTGTTACTTGATTTGCAGCACCGAAAGCATTGAGAAAAGATGAAAGGCACTCCAAGGCTTCAAGCTTTTTAATGGAATGAAAGAAAAGAAATCTTCAGAAACTCATCTACTAATATCATCCATATAAAGAGAAAAAGGCATTGCAACACTACAGCCAGGCATACATAATGAACAGCAATGCTTTCACTTTCCCCAACCTTCCACAGCAAAAATGTTTCTACTCAAACACATGAGATAGATGAGTTTCTTCTGATTTCTCTACAAATTTGATAAGAACGGTTGCACTTATAAAAAAGAAAAGGAAGGCCACTGAACTACTTCAATAACGATAATTTCCCCAACTGTCAGCCAGGCATACAAAATGAAGAGCAATGCTTTCATTTCCCCGACCTTCAGACACCAATTAATTAGCTAAACATAAACTCTCCCCACAGCAAAAACGTTTCATGATCAGATTAAACATTCGAAATAGGTGAGTTTCTTCCATTTAAGATCATGATTTGAATGATGTAATCTAGACACATAAAGCTTCCACAATTCAAATCAGCATTCTTACTTTAGAAGTTGGTATGCTAACAAATTTGATAAGAATTGTTGCACTTAGAAGAAAGAACAGGAAATCAACCTAACTACCTGCAAGAATTGTGGGAGAGACATAAACAATAATCAGCAAAGAAAGACCATCCAAGAAAGAAACATCAGGGTAACTTACGGGCATCCCAGATCTGCCAAGTGCAACAGTGGTCATCAGCATGGCCCACCGACTGAAAATTCCCGCTTCTGGTTCCCCCACTGCATTCTTCATGTTTGTCTTGTTTGCCAACATTAGGCAGTGCTGGCCAATACTCGGGTCCAAAAGATATTTTCGCCCAGATGGTATAGTTGATTCTTTGTTTGTCAAAGTCATCTGGCAGCCTAGCATTCTCAGGTACGCTTTTGGATAATTCCCAAGTATCCACTGTAAATGCAAGAAAGGTACGCGATGCAGCACCACGACTAATATTAGTAGAAGTAGAATCATCCCTAAGGACAAAAATAAAATAACAGAACGGGCAAAATTATCAACAATACCTCGAGCATACTCGCTAGCCAAAAATCACCTTTTGAAATTGATGACGGAAGGATAATTTTTGAAATAAGGTTATGCTCTAACACTCCTGCAAACCCATCAACAAGACGACAAATCACTAGACCCAGTTGTTCATCCCCTAGGTTTTTTGCACAGACGTTCACAGCGGAATATGTATCACCCCCAAGTAGAAAGAAAGCAGCAGCAAGCTCCAGCTGATGTTTCCCCATTAAAACATACGCATTTTTCAAAGCAGCTGCCCTGTTTTTTTCATCCTGAAATAATGTGTCGAGGGTTATGGGGAAGAGAAAAAAAAGATACCAGATCAATGACAAGCATCATACCAACTTTAACCTAGCAAGAAAGTCGACTGAATTGAGCACCTTGAAACAAGACATTTACAAGGCAGAAACAAGACATTCAGAAGCAGAATTTACACAACAAAATTTTTAGATGAAAAAGGATAGCACAAGTCCTATCCCCACAAAATCCAAGGCCTATAAATTGTAGGGACGCAAATTAAAAATCAAGTAAATCTCTTAATTACTCAAGAGAAAAGGTTTCACTACAAAAAAGCAGTTGTAAATGCAAATTTAACATTGCAATTTACCGCCATTAGATGTAGAAGTCAATTTTAAGAGTTGAAACAAAATTTAGTTGCTATGCTACAGCAGTTAAGCATCTTACACTTGAGCTTGCATTTGTCCAAAAAGAAGGGGGGGAACAAAATTAATCTATGTGGAGTGAAAACAAATGAGTGAACTAAAGAAAATTGTAATTTGTAGGAACAACATTTCTGTACCTCAATGTGAAAAAGACAACATAAAAAACAAACCGATAACCATCAGTACCTGAAAATTGCGTGAAAGAAAAGCCACCAAAGGTTTGTCTTTTTCATCTTTGCTAATTTTAAAAAGACCAGCCAGAACTTGAATCCTATTCAATGCAATGTAAAGAAGCGCACAATCCCTCGGATCTTTGGTTTTCAAATATTGTCGCCGGGCCAATTTTTCCATCTGTGAACATAGAGAAACACAAATATGGCACAAACAAATTACATGAACCACAATGCTGTTTGCCACAAAAAAACGCAATCAAATAGTTGTAGTTGCAGATGTACATTACCTTCACCCTCAATAAATTTGTGTTTGAGTACCAAAACCCTACGCCAATGTCACGCATTTCTTGCCATGATGGTTCATTAGATAAAAGGGAATCAAACAAGTTCTCTTGACAATCTGAGTGAAAGGCCCATCCAATGAATTTAGAAGAAAGAACCAACTCCCCGGCCAATGGTGACCTGCCATGTCTTTTAGTAAAATACAACCGTTGAAACCTCACTGCAACCCAGAACCTGGATAAGATAAAACATCATGAAAAATATGCACACAACTGCAAGCCCGATACATCCCAAGAACATCTGACAAACGACTACTACACCCTTGTCATTCCCCAATTCGAGCCCTTACTGAATAATAAACCCAACAGATAGAGAAAGACAAAAGGCAAAAATTTCACATAACCTTCACTTCAGAAGCAAAATATAATCAACACTGGTAATCGGCAATTCAAATGGTATCATTTAAATAAAAATCAACCTAAAACACATTTAGAAAGCCATTAAAAAATTTTAAACGATTGTACCTTCGACCAGATTCATCAAGACTTCCATAAGCAGAGGCAGTGTGTCCACTAGTAAGTTCTTGGAGGATGTCAATAATAGCTTGGATTTGCATTTTCTCATCGTTGCTTATACCCGCAAAGTCATAAAACTTATCTAGCACTTCAATGAAATCTCTAGGCTGTTCAGATCTGACTGAAGAAGAAGGAAATGCATTATTATCTGTACCCCTATATGCCCAGCTTGAAGCAAATGCAGATGATTCTTCTCTTTGAAACTGAGAAGACGGTGATGAAATCTCATCTGGTGATACAACCCATTGAAATGATGATTTTTCACCCAATTTAGAAGAGACATGACCACCTTCAAGATAATTTGACAAGGACACTTGTGAAATGAACTGATTATCCTTCCTACAACAAAATCTTTTCTCGAAGGTTTTAGCAGACGTTAGGTTCCCAATAAGATGCTGCACGGCCACATATGCACGCTTCCAATTACCTGAGAATTTGAAAATTCAGTTTCATTCATTTAACTCAGATCACATCTGGATGAGAACTTAAACACTGAACCATTCAAGCGTGTCAGTCCATTAGGCTGCAACTGCCACTACAAAACATAGGATATGCATAATAAAATGGAGGGAAGATAGAATGGCAACAAGTAGTTGAATATGTTAGTTCCCAGGATCATCCATGCAACTGCTTGAGTTAAATAAGGACCTTCATAACAAACTACAAAAGGATTTAACCCAGCAAAGTAATTTGGTAAAACTGACACAAAAAATTAAACCCGAAGAGTTGCAACTATACTTTCCTAAGAAACAACACACGAGGGGGCAAACTAAAAAGACATTAAGAGGTTATGAATCAGTTTCAGTTCAGCATCAATATTCATGAACCGAAATCAAATATGAAGAATTAAAATGGTAGTACCTGTGCCTATGTTTAGCAGAAGTGCCTCTGGGTGAAAGGCAGGTAAGGGTCCTCCAAGCATTTCTGCTACTCCTGAAAAGCTCCAAAAACCAGTGCTCTCGAAATCAAAGTTCTGCCAAACGCCACCTCTTGAATTCACATTCATCAGAGTCCTGGCTTGGAATTGCCTAGGATAGTCTTGCATTGAAGGTTTTTCAGCATCATGTATATCAGAATCGAAGAACACACCAGGAGGCAAATGTTCTGTGGAAGCACCATTGCAAATAAAAGGACCGTCCTTGTGACTTTCTCGGGGACGCATTTGTGTATTCTTATTATCAAAGAGAGACAGATGGGTAAACAGACAGAAATAGTGAAGGTTAATAACCCCAATTGTAGCGTTTGGTCCCCAAAAGAAATCACGAATGATGGCATGTGTACGAGTTACTGCAATACAAACCCAAATATTTCCTTCAACAGGCTCTTCTAAACAGTGTTTTTGAGCATATACTTTCAACTCATTTTGAAAGCAGACACCAAGTAATAAGAGACCATTGCCGAGATCCAACCAATTCAAAGTTACAACTTTGCAATCAAAAGATAATGTGTCCTCCAACATAAATTTGCCTTCAACACCGCCAATGAACACTGATTCCCATACGTGAAGGGTAGTACCAAATCTACCGGCTGACAATGATACTGTTGCAACCTTTCCGCCACAGACAGTGGGCGACACTGCCAAGATGGGACCTTGATGAGCAACAAGCTCCCCAACAAGATTCCATACTGCATAAGGAGAACTAGATAAAGCTGGCACACTTTGCCACAGTTTCACCCTACCGTCATTGCACCCAGTTACAATGTGATATGGGGCACTTCTGTAACAAGATTCATCAGCAGAACTCCCTTCCTGTACTCCAGATGAAAGAAAATTATTACTGGGTTGGACAACCGCAAAACAAGATACTTTGTTGTCAGAGGGAAATACTGATGAGAAAGGATAAACAGAAATATAATATCTCTTGCCAGAAAAATCACCCTCAAATGTCTTGGCAGTGTTTTTCATACCACAACAACAATCAATTGTGTTTCCAGATGAATCATGATGGACAGTCACCTTCCATGAATACGCTCGAAAACTGTGCTCCCATATAGCTACCAGAATAAAGCTATTGGAGACATACGTTCCGTTACATGTTGATGGCAAAGGAAATGAGCAAAGAGTAGTTGGCCCTTGATCAAAGTCTTCACTGCCAAAGGGGATTGTAAACAAATTATGGTATGCAATTTTCTCTCCACTTTCCAAAACCCTTACAATAAAGCAATCAATACCACCAGCATGTCCCGTGACAAGAACTCGGTCTTCACTTAAGACAGCAGGTGTCCAACCCAAAGAAGTGTACTTGTCAAAAGAATCTGAAGATTTTATTCTCCCAGAATACTTTGAAGATGGATTCAAAGTTGGAAAGTCAGCAGTATTGTTGCAAGCAGCTGTAAGTGACCAAAATATGATAACCCCATTTGTATCTAATGAAGCAGCAAGCCCAACTTCAAAAACCCAAGGATGAAGTACAACCTTTAAAATATTTCCAGCATGACTGTCAATGTCCAAGATACCTAAGGTTTGGGATGATAACGAATCTTTCTTATGAAAATTAGAATTTGAATTCACTTTCTCTTGTGCTTCAGGCGATGATACTTCAGAATGTAACTGCAACCAAGCTAGAGAATTACACGGTAACAACTCAACCAAAGAACACATATTTGGTGGGCTAAACACTCTGTTCCTTCTGACAAAAACTTTCTCAAGCAATAATCCCCCCCATTCCACGTCCTCACCGACCAGCTCTTGCTTCTTTGATAACGTGACCCTTGGGAATCTCACAGGAGCAAAATCGTCAAGACAGTGAACAGACCAGAAAGTCACCGTCAATTGTGGACCAACCCCAATCAACCATTCACATGATCCAGTCTTATCATATTGATAATTGGTTAAGGAACAATCACGGGTGCCAATACCATCAAATTCACCAGCCCACGTTACATACACATCAGAGCCTAAAGCTCCTTTCAGAGTTTGGTTTACCTCAACGACAGCGACAACTCGAAATGACAACCTCGGTGTTTTATTATGATCATTGGTGTCCTTGCCGGTCTTTTTTACCTTGCCATCATCATTATCACTCCATAACCTTACAGCACCATCAATACAGCTCGTTAGTAACACCAACCTCCGTAATTGTCTGCCTTTCACCCCAATAAGTGATCTTCCTGTTGCTGATGGCCTCCACTGGATCATAGAAACAGGTGCCGGATGCCGAAGCTCAGCTTGGGCACATTCGGAATTTCCTCCATTACCACAACTCACTAGAACATGTTTATATGCCTCACTCAAAGGAAAAGAAAAATCTTCTAAAGATGGAAATTTACCACGTGGTGCTGTTGCAAGAGGTTCATCAATTGACCAGCAGGAAGATATAAGAATGTGGGGCACGGGTGGCTTGAATTTCCAAGCTCTTTCCCAAGAATTTTCTCTCTTTTTCCACAAAACCACCTCAATCCCACCTGCAATGATCCCATCACCTGATGTGGTCCATTTGATCCCTTCTACATGGGTAGATTGTACAAGGGTTGCATTCTGGCTCCAACAAAAAGAACCTGAATATCAGTAAAGGAGTTTATACTCACACTCTAAAGAGAACATCCAATGGTGGAGATCAAAACTGAAGCAATCAGTACAAAAACAAACTGGACACCGTGACTTAAAATCAAACTAAGGCGTCAAATGCTTGATTAAGACAGAGATGGTTTCTTCAATAAGAATGTAAAGCACTGCACTTGAATAGTTGCCAAGATAAAGTAATTCGAGAAGTAACCAAGGAAAAAAAAAGAAAGAAAATCCAGATCCCAATTTCTTGCATTGCCATTTCCAAAATCCGCATCCTCCTTACAAACCTCTGTTCAAAGAAAGAAAGCTTCTTTACAATAGATGTGTGTCGTCTCATTCCTGGTAAATCCCTGTTTCGTATATTATCATGTTTCTATTTCGTTAAAGCCACACACTCATTCCAATCCTTCGTATACAGAAAGCAAGGTTCTAGAAGTAATTCCATTCATTTTCTGTTTTCAGTAAAAACGAACCAGATCCCAATTCCTGACTACGTAACATCCCCCATTGCCCTAATGCCTAATGACAAATCCCTTCCACCATTCGAAAGAAGCAAGATTTTGCATGTATATGCATTGGTTTCTGATTCCTATACCAACAATTACTGTTTAACATGGTCATCCAAATCTTCCCACAGCTACAGTTAAGTCTTTTCATCCACGAATAGACAGGTCACCAACATCTGAAAAAGCATTAATCTCGAAGTAACCAAAAAAAATAAAAAATAAATCAAATTGCTAGAGCTGAAACCCAAGTTATCAAAATCCTGGTAAGAATTTTCTTTTTAACTTCTGCTAGCTAACTAATATGGTTCCTAACAAACCCACATGTACACTGGCAATATTATCCTTCTCTTTCAACATTGATAAAACATATTCAAAGAATGAAAGCAGTCAAAATCTCAAGTTCCACCATTATAATAGCTAATGACACTCTGAACTCCAACTTTTAAGAATCAATGAATGAATTAAATTCGTCATACCTACCGTAACTGCATCATCGTAAGCCCCAAATCTTACTACTAACAAACACCCAACATCATCAAAAGCCTCAAATGCTTCCAGTTGAAGGGAAAAGAAAAAGAAAAACAAAAAGTGTCCAAATTGTATAACAACCATTTAATAATCTAAAAGTGTGGGTCAGGTTCACAATGTCAGGACTTACTATTACTACATTCGAAGAGGCAAATGCAGTTATCCAATGCAGCAGCCAAGTCACCCAGGGAAGGCGAAACAGGGGACCAACACACAGCGGAAACGACGCCACCGCCGGAGGAAGATCCACCGAGCTCGAAGACCTGGCGCAGAATGGGACCAATTAGGATTTCAGACTTGGAATTGGGGTCGGGAAAATGAGAGACGACAAGGAGAGATGCCGCTCCATAGGCGATCCAGGCGTAACCAGCGAAGTCGGGAAGCCAGTCGATCGCCGTCCGGTTAGGCGCCGGGGGGATAATCTCGGATTGAAGGAGACGAAGCGGTAAGTGATCGGCGATGTTGAAAGTTGCGGTTGGAGAAGACGAAGAAGAGGAAGAATCCGATGTATTGCTAGCAATGCTGTTGTCCGGCATAGTGAGAGAAGTGTGAAACACAGACTGTGCAGTAAGATTTTTGATGGAGTGTTGTGTTGGTTTGGCTCTGTATTAATTTGCTGCCTAAACCTTCATCGTTGTTCTTTCTCTGTTGTAGGGAGTATAGTCAATCATTCTTGAGAATTCTCCTGCAACTCCCATTTTCCAATTCAACTGCTTTCTTTTCCGATTTGATTTGTGATGAGTACTTTCTGATGAGGAATTGCTGGATCGGGCCTTTCAAGGCTACGGGCTACCAATTAACTATATTCATTGTATCAAACCTAGAAATATTGTTGGGTTTAAGATATCTGAGAAGCCCAACTCAAAGAGATCCAAGTGATCATATTTAACCAAAGGAACTATCCATTATCCAAGCATAAGTACTGTAAGTTCACGTTTTTATACGAAAAACACTTGCCATTGCAAATATTACGAAGTTTATAACTAGTGGTGGGGGCTGCACGTTGTGCAGCTAAAGCCGAACAGTAGCCCCGTATTTCTGAACTTTAGAGCTACAACTTTTTAACTTTTTTATTCTCAGTTATAGCGGTATTAAACATTTGTTATTCAAGATATAATTACATAATGATATTCTACAACAGCAAGAATCAATGACATTTTCAGTATAATTCAGTAGAAAATATAAATTAGGGTTTCTGGAAATCAAGAACAAATTTAGTGTACTGAAGAAACTGTATTAATTTCTCAAAATCATCCGGACCAAGATTCGGTTGCATTTATAGTGCAAAAACCGACTTAATCTTACCAACCGCCTTACATGTTTAATATTTACAATTGAACCCTCTTATCTATAGTCAACTAACTAATGTGCCAGTCAACTATCGACTTTGTTACGATTGACTCCTTCTGAGTTCAAACTTTCAATTCCCGCCACATTCATAACTTCTACATCCCCCTCCTCCCCCACAAGCTGGACCTAAAAGAGAATCCTTCAGTCCAAGCTTGGAAAGAAGAACAGTCATATGAGAAAATGGCAAGAGTTTTGTAAACAAATCTGCAAGTTGTAAATCAGTGGAGACATGTAAAGGTACCAAGAATCCAGTCTGATAATGGTGTCTAACAAAGTGGTAATCCACTTCTAGATGCTTGGTTTTTTCATGGCATACTGGATTCTCTGTGATGTATATAGCAGATTGGTTATCACACCACAGAGGAATTGGCAATTGAAGTGGAATGTGAAGATCTTGCAGAACATATGAAATCCACAACATTTCTCTAGATGTATAACTCAAGCTTATGTACTCAGCTTCTGAGGAAGATACTGCAATTGTAGTCTGTTGTTTTGCCTTCGAAGAAATCAGTGAAGAACCAAGGAAGATGCAGAAACCTGTAACTGATCTTCTGTGGACGGGATTAGAAGCATAGACAGCATCACAATAAGCTTCCATTTTGAAGCTAGATGAAGAATAATAAAAGAGTCTATAAGAAGGAGTTCCCTTGAGGTATTTCAGCACATGGATGAGAGCCTCCCAGTGTGCTCGAGATGGATTCTGTACATGCTTGCTCAACTGCTGTACTGAGTAAGTAATGTCTGACTTAGTAAAACCCAAATAGAGAAGCTGACCAATAAGCTTCCTGTACTAAGAAGAGTTTTCAATCAACGGTCCTGGATCATCTGTGAATTGATGTCCTTTGGGAAGTGGAGTTGTACATGGTTTGCAACCAGTCAAACTTGTGTCCTTCAATATATCCAAAATATATTTTCTTTGGCTAAGTTACATTCCTGCGTGTAATCTTGCAATCTCTATGCCCAAGAAGTACTTAGCATAACCAAGATCTTTAATAGTAAAGAGATCATGAAGATACTGCTTTACCACAATGATAGCATTCACTTGAACCAGTGATCAGTATATCATCCACATACACAACTAAAGCCAGAAAGTTGTTGGAATCTGACTTCACAAATAAGCAGGGGTCATTTTTTGATTGCTTAAAACCAACAACTGCCATCTTGTTAGTAAATTCTGTATTCCACTGACGTGAAGCCTGCTTTAACCCATATAAAGATCTCTTCAATCTGCGAACTTGGTTTGAAGTCCCCTTGGTATAACCATCAGGCAGTGTCATATACACTTCTTCATCCAAAAAACCATGCAAAAAAGTATTGTTGATGTCCAACTGATGCAATGACCATTAGGAAGATGTTGCTATGGCTAGGAGTATTCTGACTGTCACTACTTTAGCAACAGGGGAAAAACTGTCATAGTAATCTTCCCCTTCTACCTGATTGTACCCATTTGCTACTAATTTGGCCTTAAATCTATCAACACTTCCATCAAAGTGGTATTTGATCTTATAAACTCATTTGCTGTTAATTGCCTTCTTTCCTGGTGGCAATTCTGTCAAATCCTAAGTATCATTCTTTTCTAAAGCATCAAGTTCTGTTTGCATAGCATAAATCCATTATGGTTGAGTTCTAGCTTGAATATAAGATGCAGGTTCTTGCAAGTGATCTATCTCAGCTAAAAATGATAAATGATCACTGCTAAACATAGGAACTGTATAGTAAGAATAAGTTTGTGGTGTATAAGGTGAAGAAGTGTGTTTAGATAGTACCTGTGGATCAGTCACAACAAGATTTTCCTTATGTAGATCATAGTCATTCATCCAACAGGGTGGCTGGGAAGTTTTGGTACTTCTTCTGAGAGTGGTTATATCTGTGGTCATATCAGAAGTTGAGTTTGGGTAAGATGATATTGAATCAGAAGATGAAGATTGAAGTAATGGTTCTGATATAGATGATATAGTTGGATTTGAAGTATCTAGGCAACGGAATGTGCTTTCATGAAATATCACATCCCTATAAATAATGATCTTTTTGGTATGTAAATCATAAAGTTCTCAGACAACCAAACACTTTCATGTGTGAAATATCATGTGGTTTTAAAAACATGACTTCATAAGGACTTTGATTTCCTAAAAGTGGTGTGGGAAGTCTATTAATGATGTAGGTTGCTGTCAAAATGGAATCCCCCAAAAGGTTTTTGGTAACCCTGCTTGAAACATGAGGGATCTGGCTACTTGCAGTAGATGCCTATGTTTTCTCTCTACCACCCCATTTTGTTGAGGAGTGTATACACAAGATTTCTGGTGGATGATCTCCTTATCTTTAAAAAAAGACTGACATTATTGGTTAAGGAATTAAGTCCCATTGGCTATTCTAATCTATTTAATAGAAGCTGTAAACTGAGTTTGAACATAGGTATAAAAGGTTTGCAAGGCTGATAAAGTCTGAGATTTGTTTTGCATCAGAAAAGTCCAAGTGGGCCTGCTAAAATCATCTACTATGGTAAGAAAGTAATATGCACCACTGAGTGACCTTTGTTGATAAGGCCCCCGGATGTCAACATGAATGAGATAAAAAAATATGTGAACTTTGAATTGAACTAAGAGGAAAACACAATCTGTGTTGTTTTGACAAAGGAGAAATGTCACAAGAAAAAGAAATTTGTGCTTTACTAGCATCAAGTACATGTAACTTTTGTAAAACCTCATCTGAGGGATGACCAAGTCTCCTATGCAAAATTTCTCTACTATCTTTAGTAACTAACAAGGACGGATGGGTTACAATGGATTTAGGTCTCATCAAGAGAGGATGGTTAATGTGTGTGGATGCAAACTGATGGATGGTTTCTGTGGTGAATGTTCTGATCTATAATGTAAAGCTTGTTGATAACTTTTCCACCAGCTACTACATGTCTAGTCTGTTGGTCCTACAATACACAAAAGGTAGTGGAAAAACAACAGTCTATTTTAGAAGTAATGCCAAGCTTATTTACTGATATTAGGTTATAATGAAAGGTTGGAATATGTAAGGTATCTGTAAGGCTAAAATTTGAGGAGAGTGGTACATTTCCTATGTGTTCTACCTTTTGCATACTTCTATCAGGTAAACATACTGGTGTTATGCATGTAACTTTATGATAGGATTCAAAGAGATTCAAGCTAGAACTCATATGACTAGTAGCTCCACTGTCCAATATCCATATAATTAAGGCCAATTGTTCTCAGGTATTGAGTTTGTTGAATGAACTCATACTTGCAAAATCACTGAAGTGAGCAAAATTGACCTGCTCAGCTGATGAAGATGGTGCAGTCATTTTCCCTTTCATTATCTTGTTTACTTCCAACTGCAAAGCATGCATGTTATTCAAAAGGTTCTGTAGTTGCCCTGACTGATCTGCATTCTCCTGATTAAAATGTGTTTCGGCCAGATGTGCAGCAGCTGGTTTGTTCTGATTATAAGAGACGCTTGATGATTTATTGCCAGGCCATCACTCTGGATATCCATGTAGCTTGAAACAGGTACTTTCAGTGTGTCCTTGTCTATTGCAATGATCACAATGCAACAACCTCTTAGCAGCTTTGTCAAGTCTGAAGTCATTTCCTCTTCCTGAACCTCCTGAATTACTCATCTTTCTTGGAAAAGCAATATGATTGAATGTTCCAGAAGAACCAGTGTTGTTATAACCACCTTGTTGAGGAGTATTCCTTTGGTAACCTGTTGTTCCTCCAGTCCCAGTGTATCCAATAGATCTATTACCACCAAATAAAACTGATTCTCCTTTTGTGCAATCATTGCACTGTTCTCAACATTATCACTGTACGTCATATTAACATTCTGATGTTTTTCAACATTCAGCACCATTGCATAAGCCCTTTTTAACTTCTGGTAATGGTTCAATCATCAATATATGGTTTCTTACTTCCTTATATGTATCATTCAAACCCATCAAGAATTGCATCAGCTTTGTTCTATTTTCTCTGCCACTAGTTTGCCGATTAAAATGACAGGTACAACCACTACAATCACAATCATCTGGTGGATCAACTAGTGCCAATTCATCCCATAATCTTTTCAATCTAGCATAGTAAGTGGCTAAAGGTAGATTACCTTGCCTGACAGTGCTAATGTCTCGCCGGAGATTGTAGATCTGAGCACCGTTTCCAGTACCATAGCCCTTTTTCAGCTCCTCCCAAAGTTCTTGTGCATTATTTGCCAAATTGTAGTTATCCACGATCCCTGGGGGCAAAGAATTGAGGATCCAGGTGATTACCAAGTCATTGACTCGATTTCATTGGTCAAAATCCGGTGACCTAGGGTTTGGTTGAGGGACTACTCCGGTTATAAAACCAAGCTTGTTTTTCGTTCCGAGAGCTCTCCGTACGGCGTAGCTCCACGAAACATAGTTGTTATCTGTTAGCTGCGACGTCACCAACATCGTATTGTAATTATCAAACTGTAGTAAGGTGAGTGGATGCATATATCCACCATAGTTAACACCCTCTGCTTCATTCCTTTGTGTTTCACTATCTTCTTCATTAAATTCATGTTCGCCTCTCCTTTGATCTCGATTTCCTCGAGTTCCTACCATGATTCTTGACCTTTGGTATCTTTAATTCAAGAATCGATCACAAGAAACGAAAAAAAAAAATTGAGACAGCAAATTCAATTTGAGCAGCGAAAAGATACAGAGCAGGATTAACCTGCTCCGATATCATCTAGAACAGTAAGAATCGATGACATTTTCAGTATAATTCAGTAGAAAATATATATTAGGGTTTCTAGAAATCCAGAACAAATTTAGTGTATTAAAGAAACTGTATTAATTTCTCAAAATCATCCAGACCAAGATTAGGTTGCATTTATAGTGCAAAAACCGACTTAATCTGTCCAACCGCCTTATATGTTTAATATTTACAATTAAACCCTCCTATCTATAGTCAACTAACTAATGTACCAGTCAACTATCAGCTTTATTACAATTGATTCCTTCTGAGTTCAAACTTTCAATTCCCGCCACATTCATAACTTCTACAAATATGTATCCACGAAGCCTAGTAAGTAAATACAAAACATAAATTCTTTTCCTTCTCAAAAGAGGACAAGGTGAGGAACTTAGGTTTCAAGGTTCTCGGTATTTCCTAAGCTCCAAACCTCAATGCTATAATGCAGCTCGAATACACTTCGTGTATTTGATCAAAGAAAAAAAAAATGCATGAGCTAAGAAACATACGATGGTAGCTTTCTCAAAGTTAAGTCCTTCAGCACTTGTTCGAGAATTTCGTTACGGAATTGGAATTGGAATTGTCTTTAGTATTTTGCGTAGTTCCAAAATACATGATGAGAGGAAAATGTTCACTTGAAATTGTGCATACTCTTTGCAGAGATGAGAGCATTTGATAATCCCTTGAGGAGAGGAATGGTGTTTTGCTGACTTCCTCAAAGCAAACATCGCCAACATGCGAACAGGCGACAACCTGAGCTTATGGAATCCTGTTGACAGACACATCCAGAAGAAGCATCGTCCTCAAGCACCTAATTAACTAAGTAATCAGAAGTTAAACATAACAACATTCTCTGTTCCTCATAGCAAGACAAACAATATCAAGTGGATGACATCCTTCCACATCTTTTTCAATACAAAAAGTATCTAAGACTTTCTTCTCCCATTCATGTGATGGTTCATGGTTCCAAGCCGTTGCCGCCAGCAGAACAACCAAGAATCGCCATGCCCCAACTATACCCATGAACATCTCTGCTGTGACATGATCATCTACTGAAATTAAGTCTAGATTAAAACCATTAATCGAGGAAGTTAAATTGAGAGAAAAGGTGTTTGGCAATAAACAAATGAGCAGCCAACAACAGCATCCTCTGACCATCGGTTTCTTTCCGATAGATTAATTGAGCGGCAACATATGAGGAGTTAAATTATAATTCGATAGAGAAAACCAATCCGAAGGTCCTAATTGCACTCTTTGAGTAAAATAATCAAACATTTTATAGGCAAACCCAACAATATGATTTGGGGCATATGTGTGTTTTTAGTAGCCATAATGAGGTTACATTTCCCCGAGAGTCAATCTTACGGGCTGCTAGCACACCAAAAATGTGGAACAAAAGAATGGAATTCCACAGATCGATCATCTAATCATTTTAGCTAAAGAGCAGAACATCTCGTAACAACCGATGCCCTTCAATCGCATCAAATCGGCCCCAGAAAAAGCTTAATTATCAGCTTAAAATATGACAAATCGATACTAACTAGAGTTTCACCTTCGGGCGGCCTACTTTTCACTGATGAAGCCTATTTCGCAATAAAAGAGAAGAAGAGAGATGGAAAGAAGATCGGAAACATATTTTCAGTGCGATTGGAACTGGGGGAGTATAAAAAGGCAAAACCTGAATTGGGTTTGAGTTCAGCCATTGCAGAGGCAGTGGAAGCTGCAATCTATAACCGAAGTCTCCAATCGAGAGCCGACACATCTGGGAAGAGTGACCGTTCACCGTATCTAAACAGCTCCATCGTCGGGTGAAACTCCCCTTTTATATATTGTAGATATTTATTTTCTTTCATCCCAAATAAGAATCTTTGCACTTTAGTGGAATAACAACAGTCAACAAGAAAAAACAAAAAAGGATGAAACTAACAAACCAAATTCTTACTTAGAAGTAAGAATTGTTAATGATAATAACTACAGTAGTATTTATTAGGTATAATAGGTGTGGCCAACATTATTATGTATGTATAATCAAGTTTCTTACTTGAGTTGGGTTTATCTAGCTACTTCTCACTTTATAAGTGGAATACATTTTTACTTGTGTTCTAAACACCAAACTAAGATCTTAAGATATGATGAATGTTATACGAGAAAGACAATAGAGAACAACATAAAATCTTCTCCGATGCTCTACCCTTTTTATCCACCCCTTATCATGCAGATTGCAGAGCGCATCCTCCGCCCTTCCAGTTGCTGATGCTTCTACCTTCCATGGCTATCCTGGTCCTAACTACAACTGTTCCAACATTGGTCCGTGCATTTTACGGTTAATTACATTTGCAATTTTCCTAGGTTTTTGTCAAATTGGCGATTTCATTTTTTGTACAAAGTTCAGCAGATGCGTTAACACCTTGAAGGCAAACATGCCTACAGGCGCTAATCAATGCAGCATTAGACAAGGAACATTTCTTTGCCATTGCAAATCACAAGATGACCCAAGTTGACCCTGATGCTGAGTACACCAAACATATGTCGTCCTGCTTGGACCTGGCTGAACCCTCAAAGTTTTGGTCACAGCAAATCAACTCCTTGTAAGGTATTCCATGTTTTTTTTTTCCATGGGACCTTACATGTCAGCAAGAAATGTCCCCTTTCAAACCACAATCTCAGTTGCCAGCCCCTGTCCCTAAACTCAATGACAATCTTGATGTTAAAAAGGTCATGCATGGCCTAAGAAGCCTTAATCTTAATAATGGTGATGTTGTTCCTATGGAGATTGATAAGAACTTGAGTGTTGACATTGGAGTAAATGTACAACAATGCAACTCAAGATACCCGTAGAAGAATTGCCAGCGTTTGCACGGCATTGTCATGGCTTCTTCTATGGCCAAATGTACCCCCAACTTGAAGCTCATTACAGAGAGATTAATCGTTTTTTATGGATATTCCAGGGGCAACTTTTAGGTTTTATCATTTCATGAATGGAGTGCCTAGCAATGCACCTTTTAATACTCGGTTGCTGAATGGATGCTAGGAATAAGGGACTTGGGGTTCTGCTAATTTTGCTGGATACTGGGACAGTGTCGATAGAGAACCACCGATTCACCTAAACGGAGCTTCTATGTTGTGGAACATGCCACTGGGGATTATATTCCGGATACCACAGTTTGCAACTAGGTTAATCCTCCTTACATGAACACTATTGGACTTCCTCCTGGTGGATGTGCCGCTATTAGGTTCACCGCTGACAATACATGTATTCTTACATCTTAGTAACACTCTTGATAACATTATAACTGACTTTTGGTGTAAAAATCTTTTGAATGAGTGAATGACGGAAATGATTTTGAAATTTTGTGGTGATGCAGGGGTTTGGTTCATGTATTGCCACTTGGAGATGCATTCATCATGGGGGTTGGCAGTGGTGTTTATTCTGAGAAATGGCAAAGGACCACATCAGACTTTACCCCATCCTCCAGCAGACCTGCCTACATGCTAAAAGAACAAGACATTTGAGGAAAAGCTACCATCCATTCATTAAGCTGTGGAAGCTAATAAAGACTTCCGATTTGTTCGAATAGGCTCATTGTTGATGGAATTGCAAGCAAAAAGGAGCATTCCTCTCAAAATCTTTTGACTTTCAGTTCTTTTGCCCATATCATTTGCCAACATTATATCCTAATGGGGCCCGTGCAAGACACCCATCGTGGCTTCTAAAAAGAACCAAAAAGGAGGGAGGGTGAGGGGCTTAATCAATTCTCAGCATACTTTGTTGGTAAAACTATGGTGGTTCATGAAGGTTAGTTACAGGGCTCTAAGGCAAAAAGAAACACACCAAAAATAGAGTAAAATTGCAAGTGGTGTATTGAATGGTGGATGGATTATTTAGCTACTTGTCAACCTAGGGCAACTGGCATAAAATCGTTACAGAACACAGCAGCATTTAACTTTTGATGCTCTAAAATACTGCAATGAAATGTCTGCCAGTTAAGGATTTACCCAAGGACATAGTGACAGTACCTGCCGTTCTTCCGTTCAAGCTCTAACCAACTCTGAAAGATGAACCTCAAATGCATTTCTAACAGCCATCAATATATATGCCTAAAAGTTCTTTACAACAAAACAAAAACAAGGATAATCAACCACTAATGAAAGTTCAAACATCAGCATTTAACTGAGTGCATGCTAACCCTGTTTGCTTCGGAAGGAGACTCATATCTACAAGTAATTTATCTTCTAACAAAGCAATTCGTACCAAACAGTGGACTAAATAAGTAATATTAAAATAGTGAACTGTACAACAGCTAGTCTTTAGATTTAAATGTCTAGTTTAAGAGGAAACAAATTTGAGTAAGTTCTTGAAAAACATTGTTGCATGTAAAAAAGGCTTGCTCAACTAACAGGCAAAAGTTAACTCTCACGACCAAAAATATATGCATATCATAAACCTGGTTCAACCAACTCTCAAGATGCTGAGAAAGTCCATATAAATATAGCTTCTGCCTGCTCATAATCAAAGGAAAATAAAGGGTTGCAACGCAGTCAAATCCCTTCCTTGGAAAACCTCTTGCTCAAATGAGTATTCCACAATGTAGGGAAACAGTTTCTGAGATACCAAGCAATTGGTTTAACCTTATATTTCTTCCTATTACTTCGGACAATGTCTGAGATACTCATTTGGGCAAGATGCTTTACATTGGAAGGTATGCCTACTACCACATTACTTCTGATAAGCCAAGGCTAAATTCAATGTTGGATTTTCTATTATAGGCATGAATAACGACTCCTGAGAATATGAGGCTTCCCGTGGCTTTCATCGATCAAATCACAGGCATATGTAGTCAACAGCCATAATATCCAATAAAACTGATAGATATCCCACATAAAGACATTTGTTCTCTTATTTCGTTTTCATAGAAAATAATTTTTCTAAAAAATCATTACTGAATCAAGCGTTTGATGGATGAAACTTCTTATTACAACAGTACCTATTTATGTGCATGCTTTAGAAACTGCTATTCATCCAGCTGACATTCCGGTATTACTCAATGTTATTATGGATTGATTTTGTCTGAAGTCCAGGACTTTTCTCCATTGCTACTACTTGTAGATCTAAACAACATCCTTTCGTTTTTCTTTAGGTTCAAATAATCGACCTGTAAGAAACAAAACTCTTGTGAAGCATAGAAGGATTGAAGGAGTCAAGATAATGAAGAAGGTTTTGATCCAGGAAGATACAAACCTGGTCAGGGTCCAGCACAAGAACACAAAATGCATCAACAGGACCAGAAGAAGGATTCAAAGAATTTTCTGGCGGTGGATCGTCACAAAGAGAAGGAAGTCCAGGGGCAGGGCCCAAATACTGCAGTCTTGATCTAACTGAACTCGCAACCCAAGCTTTCTCTCTTTGCTGCATCACGCAAATATTTCAATTTAAGAAATGCCATAATAATGTGAGAATGGTATGGTACACAAGATCAATTAGTTCAATGCATATTGACAGCAACAATGCAACAGATATCCACAAGAAAGTGAGAAAACCATGAGGCAATACAAGGGATTCAATGCCCAGAAGTAGAACAAGGGCAGTGTCAGATTCAATAACAAAGGATATCGAGCTTCTATACACGATCTCATGTAAATTCTTCCTCCCCCAACCAAAATTTATATATGTGAGTTGGAAAGTCCAAGCAATGAACACTGTAATCACAGACTAGCAACTTTGGCAAGTAAAATCAGTAAAGCAAGTGAACAAAGACTTGATCACTAGTCATTACCTGCAATTTCACGGGGTCAGGATTACGTGAATCGATGATATCCACTTTCCCATTGATCCGAAATTGCTCCCAAGTGTCAGTGAAATACCAGCAAATCTGTAGAATTCAGAACTTATCTGTAGTCGATTCATCGCAGCATATTTGACATTCAAATTAACTATCGGCAGAAGAGCAACCAAAGAAGAAAGGGAAAGAAAAGAAAAAGAAATTTCTAGGATACCTCAGCAAAAGGGCAATGCTTGATCTCTTCAATCTGCACTTAAGAAACTAGCTTTAGATAATGAAACAGAGAAAAAAACAAACACACACACACACACGCACAAAAACCAAAAAAAAAAAAGAAAAAAAAAAGAAAAAGGGGGGTGAGGAAAAGATGGGAAAAGAAGAAGAAGAAAAAGATAGAACCTTTGAAGTACGGGAATCGGTATTAATTTGGATCTTATCACTAGTAGAATCTCCGTCCTGCTGCTGGAATCCTCTGAAAACAACAGTCCGATTGGAAGGCCGCCCATTCCTGCCAACAGTTGCCTGCAAAAAAGCTCCCAAACGGAAAAGTCGATTGGATCGGAAAAACAACATTATTATGGGGGGGTGTTTGAAATTGAAATGGTGAGGAGATTACGTACGAGCTGGAAATAAGAGGCGTGCTTTTGGTGGGAATTGGATTGAAGAGCGTTGAGTAAGAGCTGCTTCCATTGTGCAGTTGCTGTTGCCATTTTTCTCAGCTTTCTTTAAATGCAATTCTGGCAACCAACAAAAAAAAGCCCCAAAAATAAAATAAATCCTCAAACATTGAGATTTGAGAGGGGAATGAATGAATGAACGTGTGAAAAGGAATGGATGGAGACGTGGAGTTTTTTCTTTTTTGGGGAAATAATTCACCACCAGGAGGCGGAGACAGACAGGAAGCATATGCATTATGGGAATCGTACGACGTCGTTTGAATTTTGGCGCCTCCAAAAAATCATATATATTGGTAGATGGTGAATGTTTTTCTCCAATCACGTAACGAATTAATAATCATTACAAATATTTTATAGTAATTGTCTTATGAATTATCACTTTTCGGGATGAATTTTAAAAATATTCCTTTCTTTTTTAATACTGAGGAAGCTTTACGCTTAATACAGCCTAAACTATTTGAGAAAGATTCAATTTAGTCCAATCCAAAAGTATCTTCTCCGATATATGAGAATTTTAAGAATATTTGAGTGTTGGGTTATCTCCTCAAATCTCAACCCCAATAGTTAATGGCCCTATTATTGGAACAACACAATAGATGTGTTTTGTACTAAAATCAATCATTGGCGAGAAAATGACAATATACATATAACTACCTGAATGTGGGAGAGAAAACAGAATTGAGTTGAAATGGAAAATCCCCATTATTTTTCTTAAGAAAATGGTAGAATTTGTTAAGTAAAACATGAATATGTTTAAAATTCTACCCTGTTTCGGGTGCAGCTATGGTATACCATTTATGGCAGCAAAGAAACATGATTTTGCATGGAGCATCAGTCAGAAATGTAAATGAAGTGGTAGGAGCAATCAAACAGGGAAGCGAAGACGTGACAGCTTAGAATATATGTAAGGAAAACAGGATCATTTGTGTGTGTGACAAAATTAATACAATTAACCTTTCACCAAAAAAATAAAAATAAAAATTCTACCCTTTTTCTTGGACAAATTATATCATTTTTAAAACAAATTCCCTAAATAAATCAACTTTTTTTTTTATCATTTTTAAGAAAAATAGGTAAATATCATTGTCCATAAATAAATTATTGGGAGATTCATTATGTAGAAAATATGTCATCGGAAAGAAAAAAAAAAAATGATAGGACAAGGATATTGTTGTTTCCGCCGTGGAGAGTTAGTTCTGGTTGATCGTATGTCAAGGAGATAAATAACCATTATAAGAAGTGTCAGAGAGACTTTAGACCTTTTAAGATAAAGGGTGGGATATTTCATAATGTCTTTATCCTTTTCCGGTTTTCCCTTTAGTTTTAACGAGGTCCGCCTGTGCAATAACAGGACTCAATTCATTGTTTTCTACTCAAATTCTTCAAAGAGAAATTAGGGACTCCATTCTTTTTTCCTTTTTTTTTTCTTGGATGTGGTTACAATTCAAGGCTTATTCTCAACAAAACTCTCCCCCCACCGGCCCAAAAGAAAACAAAAAAAAAAACCGCATTATGTAAAAAAACTACGTAAGTGTTAGCTAAACATACAAGAATACTTCTACTATACAGACACTGATTCGTTATTACAATTTTTATTACTCACCTGATCCAGAGGCTATGTTAAAAAGAGCATAACACACACACACACACACATACACAAAATGCTACATCAAACCAAAACATCTTTTTTCCTCAGGCTCTGACTTGCTGTACATTAGACCGCCACCCGGTTGCGCAGAACAAAGCGGTTAATTTACTTCATTCACCCTCACTGTTCTCCATTGATTCCGAAGATGCGAACTTTGTGCATATTCGGGAACTTGGCGACCACCAACACAAGCACCGCTACTGTGTTGAGGAATAACATTGGGTTCTCGTAGTCAGTCGTATGTGAAGCTATCAAGTACCTGGAGCCAATGATAACATAACATCCTCAAAAGCTAGAAGTTTTAAATGATGTAACAATGATTATTACAACTAGCCAAATGGCCAAACAGTTCACAGTTTGGATCATATTTATTGTCCCTGTCTCTGAATGGAATAACCGAAATCAAGGCGAAATATAAATCATCTACCAACTAGTGTGTCGAAAAGATCAGTTAAGAAATGCTGAAGGGCAAAGGAGTATGGCTTACAGGACAACAGGTACGACTGTAAGGAACTTTCTGTTACGGGTGAGCTGCTTTCCGTTGTCGATCTGCTCCCACCAAGTTAATGCATTGTACATTCCCTGGTCATCAGCAAAAGGAGTTCCTTTCTTCCAATGGAAAAAGTGATACGTCACCTGTGTTAACAGGGAGAGAAAAAGCCACTTGATCAATTTAAAGACATGATAGAGGGCTTTTCTTGAGAATACTAGCGATTTCTGTTACAAGAGTCCTTAAATTATTGGCCCAGTTTTGCATACGTAAACCTTACAAGGCTATTTCATGGTGTTTGTCCTCTTCAAATACCAGATTGTTCTGCTAAGTTTAACATTTGCAACATTTGGCAAGAAATTTGAAATTCGAGCATCGAACAGGCAGAAAACAACAAAAACTGCTCACAGGCACATGAAACTTAAAAAGTAAGCGAATCCAAGAGTTCCAAGTGCACATTTACTTGAGGAAAAAGAGACGTATACAATTAAACTGAAGAGAAGGACTTTAAAAAATTTCAAACAAAGTGATGCAAAGCATAAGAAACAGTAACACATTAGCAAACTGCCGAATGCAGCTAAATGTAGAAAAGCTTTTCCAGAGCAAATACAACTGGCCTAGGTCATCATCTTGAAGCCTTAGATTTACATATATAAGAACACCACAGAATTGAGAGACAAGACAAAAAGATTGAAAATTCTGCTTGATCACTGAAGGGAACACCCTTCCCCACCTCATTTCCCAAAAGAACCAAAAAGGGAGAAATCTGTAGCAAGCAATCTCATTAAACAGCAAAAGTTTGCCAGAAATGCCAAGCTATGGAGCACACTTTAGCTTCATAGGACAATTTCAGACATTTCTGATGTACTCTTTCGTGTATTGGACAGCAAAAAAGAAAAAACAAAAATCGCCTTCCTATATTAGAACCAATTCCCCCTATCCCGGGGAAGAAAAAGCAGCAGGAGCTACCTTGCCTCAAAAACCATACCAATTCAATCCAACAGGAACGAAAACCACACATACAATCATTGAAAAACTTATCTAATCATCATCAACTAAAAAAATTAACAGAAATGATCTGAAAGAAGAAGAAGAAGAAGAAGAAGAATAAAAACAAAAACCAGACAATAATCTAAAGTAAAACCCTAAATTAAGGATCAGGAAATATAATAAAAACGAAACCGCGAAGTAGAATGATAAGGGGTGGGAAGAAACAGAAACGGCGACGTACGAGGAAGTGAGAGAGATTGACGATGGTCCAAGCGGTGCCGGGAGTGCAACCGAAGATGGAAAGGACGAGCAACCAAGAGAAGAAGAGGATCAATATGTAAGTTGTCCATACCCCTGGGTAGGTGAACCACTCTGTGTTACGGTTCAGATCCGCCGGCGGCACCGCCTTTACGTATAAATTCGCCATCGGAATAACTTTTGTTTCTTGGTTCCTTTCCTCCTTCCTCCTTCCTCCTCCAGATATATTTTATATTTTAAAAAATAATTCCCCATTTCTTTTTATGATTTTTCTGTCTTGGACTCTTGGTTAAATTCATTTAGCCCAAATCAATCAAGGCCAAACCCAGCCCAAGCTGATTTATTTGTATTTTACAAGTTTTATCCCTAAAGTATATTTTTTATTCAACTTTCATCGTTGTTATTTTTGAAATTTAAAAAAAAAAAAGAAAAATCATCCTAAAAGGTATTTTGTTATTCCAAAATCGTCTAATTACCCGGAATAGTTTGAATGTTCAGTCGAAATTCAAAGCACAGATGAACCCACTTCCCCAATCATGGTTAAACTTTAAGTTTTACCGATCATGTGCTTGTAGCATAAATTACAGTGAAGATGATTTATCATCAATATGCCTGCATGGATTTGCAGAGTGGTTTAAGAGTGGATGATGCAAAAGAGGATCGAAGCCGAAATCACAGACGATACGTGGTCTGTTCTCCCGGGCATTTGATTAAGGAATAGGCGATACCAACTTTCTACAATTCTGTCGTCTATAATACACAAAACAATCATCAATACTAATATGCTTCAATTTGTATACGAGTTGATCCTGACCATTGAATTTTGCAAGACGCTGGACATGGGAACTTCAACTTCCCATATCCATCCAGCGGAGACGCTGATATATCTCTGCTCCAATCTCTGGAGGGTGTGAGTGTGTGTGTGTGTGAGTCCAGCACTCCAGGGAATTGTGTAGGGCCTGGAGTCTATTGACGAATTGGCAAATCAAACAGAATTTTTTTAACTCACATGAAAATCAAATTGAAATAAACTCATAATTGCGATGAGGGTGCCACAATGATGAGAATTCAAGACAAGGTCTGATGAAATCTCATGCACCACAGGCAGAATATCTTTAGAGGCCCTTTAATTCAATGCAATCGTTGTGCCGAGTTCAATGTTTTGTTTTGGGGCGAAAATCTAGAAATGTACATTCCTCATACAGAAACAAGTACGGTTGACATCTTCCAAGGGACCTTACTAACAATAACAAGTAGTCTTCCAATAAATTAGTCATGTTTTCAAGTACATTAATTCCTTTAGGAGGAAATGAATTTGAGCGTCTACCCATCAGAATGTGATTGGATCACTAGCCGTTATCCCAACATAAGAATATTATTAACAGTTCAATTCTTGAATGTGACAACCTACCTGACGATTTGCTCAATTGACTTCTCATTTTCTGCTTCCTCTTCTCCCTCTGTCTGGATACTGCTGCTTGGCCAGCCAAGGTTAACAACCAGGTCCTCAACTGCCACCTTGACTACATCGCTTCGAACCCCAATGTCTGTAGCATATCTGCTCATACAGTACATACCAGCCGTTGCCGTAGCTAAGCCAATGGGACTGGGCATTAACAGTTTGAGCGGAGAGGAAAGAAGCGCTGCCAATGGTGCACCAACAAGTGTCGAAGCCTGTCCACTTCTTCCGACACCTAAACTGTCCACTGTCAACAGCCCTGTTTTACAATACAAAGCAAAATCCTCGCAGTTGTTCTGGAAAACATCATAGTTCCCGAATCCATTCTGGAGAAGATGCATCGCCCGATGGACCACAGTTTCAGGGGGATCTGATGCTGCCGTTGTGCATGTACCTCCACGGAATTTGGTGAGAAAGACAGATGGTGATACACCATACTCAAAAGCATAGAGCGCGTCTTTTCGCAAGAAGCAATCAAGACAGGATAATACGACCCCACTTTTAGGCTGCCTGAATCCACAGTCAGGAAATGTTGGACAGTTGGAAGGGAGGAGGGCTATCATATCGTCCTCATGGGTCTGACTAATGTTGGCAAGACGGGTAAAGTGAACGACTTTACTACCACCAACATAGATACCTGCATTCAGCCATGTGAAGAAGATAAAATGCTATTTAGTCCTCGCTCCACCAAGTAGCCCAAAATATGAATGAAAATTCACGGGTATGTTTGGTTCATAAACAGCTCTTCTAAGACCCTATTTTTCCTCCGTAGCTTTTGGTCTTTTAAGACTCTTCCTAATGCACTTGGACAAAAAAGGTAAATGATCATGGATGAACACGTAATGTTTCAATGCAAAGCTCCTAATTCATATTATTCAGCTGAAAAAACATTTTCAAATGTAATCTCTCAGAAGTTTACTTCAAACCTTCAATTTTCCTTCCCAGAGGGCAAGAATTCAATCAATTTAGTCTTGTAATAACCATAGGTAATGTTCAAAGAGACAAATGGACACGATCAATCTGAAGCAACAATTTCAAAGTTTTTGTCTTTGATCCTTAGATTTGGAACCAAAGTCAATCCTACAAAAAGTGGACCTTGCTACAGAGAGAAGATATCAATTTCTTCCAAGTAATATTCCAAATGCACTAAGCTTCACATGAAAGAAAAATAAAAAAGAGACAAAAAAGGATAATGTATGAAATCTACTATTCTATGTTCTTCCTGCTTTCAGCATCATCCACAACTGCTAAAAAAAAATCGAATTCCTATGACTGCTATTGTTATCTGATCCCTAAACAAAAAACAGCAAAATAGGCCATCCTGATCCCAAGTCCACTATTACCAGTTCTCCCACCATTATTCTACTGATTAAAATCGCCAGCCAAACCTAAGATTCCCACATATTGATTCTATCTGGATCAATACCAAAAAAAATCATCAGCTTCCAATCTGCCCACATTTCAGCTTTTGTTTAGAAATCCGAAAACCACCCACAATTACTTTGCCAGTAAAGAAGGGGAAAAAGGACCCTCTTTTCCTTTCAAGCCTAAACCTTAAAGGCTAAAGTAGAACCCTTTGAGGTACATGATGGCTAAATCACTGGTACCAAAAAAGAAATGGACGGTGGGAAGTTTTAGTACTTACCATGATGAGCGTAAACGAAGGCGACTCTGTATGAGTAGATATGATCACCTGCTTTAATCTCATTTCTCTCCACTCTGTTCGTAAACAGCCCCATCTCCCTTCCTCTCTTCTATTTTTAGTCTGCAATGTACTGTTTTACTTACAACTACTGACTCAAAGTCAAATCTAGAGCCCAGAAAGAAGCAGAAAAGAGAAGGTGAAAGAAATGGAGTTGAAGCGCCGATTATTATATACAATAACAAAGGCGTATTTATATAATAATAATGGCAACAAATACACATAGGGCCAGAAATTCACCGTTTGCTTATGTAATATGCTGGTACAAAAGAACCCAATATATGGATGTGGATGGAGATGATTGGGTCGCCCAAGGATCTGTTCAACCACCACCTTTACAAATGATGTTGATGCATGTTTTTGTCTCCTCTTTTAGTTTGAGTTTTTTTTTTTAGTCTATTAATAAACCTTTCTACAATCTGTCCTAATTAGTCAGTGAATGAAAGTGCGATTGACGATCATTCATTCCTTGAAATTGTGAGAGGAATGGATTTGAATTGATGAATGATGATGGTTTAGGTGATGTATGGGGGGTCCAGGGGGATGGGAATCAGTGACTCATTGGATTCTTGTTCTTTTTCCTTACTTTTGGCAAAGGTAACGGTATCCTAAGAGGACAGAAAAAGAAGAAATTAGCTTGATTGATCAGTAGCTTGATAGGAGATTTGGACTAGGAGAAAACAAAAATACTTGCCTTCTCAACAAGTCTATTCTGGGGTCACAAAAAGAGGAGAGTCCATTTTTCTTCTCGAGTTATTAAAAATATACTAGTAGTAATATGCCAAGGACAGAGAAAGAAGATAAAAGGTTGAAATTGAACTATAATCAACGCTCACTACAAGCAAACCATTTGATGACAAAAACTCCCCAACTTTAATGCCATGAAATTACTGTCAACTCCTATTTACAAATTTTTAGAATTAGATAACAAGAAATCTTCACAAGGGAAGATGCTAACTAACGCTACCTATCAATTCATTGCTGGAACTTTACTGTGTAAGGCTACTGTGCATAGTGTACAACCTGAAGATATAAATATGATGTGCAGCTAAGAAAATGACAAGAAAAACTTTCGTGTTACTACCAAGTATTACCATAGCGCATTTCTTGCGTCACTGGCTTTCTTCTATAAATAAATTCCACTTGTATAACTTCACACCAAAATCAGAGTTTTGATCAAGTAAAACTCTAAGTTCCTCGGCCGAATGAGCATTTTTGGCGAGCAACAATGCGAATCCCCCACCTCCAGCACCCACGAGCTTGTAGCCACAGCAGTAGGGATCACAAAATGCAAAAAGCTTGTCAACAAATTCATTGCTGCAATACGGATCAAGTTCTTGATGCAACCTCCAAGCTTCTTGCATTATGGCCCCTAGTTCATCGATTTCGCAATTCATCAGGGCTTCCCTCCCCGTTTTCGCCAGTTCAGCAAGACGCTTGATGCTGGATATAAGCAAGTTGTCGCGCCTGAGGTACCGGGTGACCACTTTCTGAAGCACTTGGTGCGCGAGCCGAACCTGCACCCAGACATGCAAAGATACTACTATCTGTCAATCAATAAAATAAGAAACAAAACAATTTTTTTTCCCTTAAAAAAAAGGGCATTACAAACATACACTGAAGCATAATGAGAGGAGATGCTAAGAAATGAACACTCTTTTTGAGAGTTCATGACAAGAAATAATTACTGGTGGATTAATTGATGGCACATTATGCATGTGATGTTCATCGTCATGCAGGAGCAATCAGCGGCCGGGCCTCTTCCTCTAAAGGCAAACTAGAAATTTCAGTTGTACCAAAGTAAAACTCATCATCATCTAAAATATTTACCTAATTGGGAAAAATTGTTCATTTTTCCTGGACAGTAAATACTTGAGACATTTGGGTGGGGGGTTAAAAGGAAAACTTGTAAACATTTTTCATTGAAACATGAGCAGCATAACACATAAAGGAAAATATCATTTTTTTTCCTCATGTTCAAATATTCTTAGAATTCAATGTCAAACACAGAGTTGTCGGAAAACCGAAAAAGAAAAGAAAACAAAAAAAGAAGAGGAGGAGGATTGAAACAGAGGGCAGTTCCCTTACTTGACCAGTAAATACGACGAGAAGCCGTTGCTGCAACTCCATGATCATCTGAGGAGAAAGTAAAAGGGGTATAACTTGAAGTCGCAAGGGTATTCCAGGAAAACTTGAAGTACATTTGATTCCAGGATATAGGCCCCCGATTTGATCTTGCCAGCCACCTCCTGTTCCCATAAACTGCTCCAACACTAAAACAAGTCTGGCAACATTTTCGTTACTAGCATCTTCTTCGGTTATTTGGAGCAGCGCTTTCACAACAGCAGCCGCTAAAATGCTGGAAGTCCCCAAGCCACTACCGCGAGGAACGTCAGCCCATGTCTTTATTTTCAAACCCATGGAAGACTGGAGTATTTTCCCATTGACAATACCAGTTACAAGCAAAGCAGACTTGACAAGACGAAAAGGATCGCTTCCGTCAAATGGTGGAGTGATGGATGAGAACTCTTTAATATGTAGACATTCATTGTTATCGTCAGAAATGTACACTCCAGCTGTTTCCGTGGTTTCTATAATAGTACCAATGGGAAGAGATCCTTCTAACGTTATGGCCATGTTCAAGACACAACCTGCACGTTCTAAGCTCCAGGGAGGTGTGTCACTCCAACCTCCAACAAAATCCACACGAACTGGTAGTTCAACTTTCACTTTCCGATGGAAGAAAGATTGATCAGGATAGCCCGCAAACTTAGCACCCACATGCCCTCCCTTGGAGGGTACATTGGAGGATTCCAAGATATTTTCTGGGTAAAGAAAACACACATCGAAAAAAGTGTTATTCCTGTAGAAGTGGTTCTTCATCGCTAATCATTTAATCATTTTATGTAACAACTTTACAGATATCCTATCAAGAAAGTTTTGATTTGGTTCACACGTTATCAAAATAGTGTATCTTTACCTCTGAAACCATATCTTACTGCTGAAGCTGTTTCATCAGTAACAGCAGCCCAAACATGATTCTCAGCTTCTACTGCCCTCCTTTCTCCATTGCACATGCGCAGAAGATCAACCTGCACTTGATATGCTCTACTTCTGGGAAGAATCTGGTAGTTCTGATTCTGAAGGTTGGGACAAAAAGCTAAAAATTGAGAGCATTTATGCATGCCAAATTCTTCTTCTAGCATAACTTCTTCACACAATTGAGATACATTGCGCCCAAGCAGGCCAAATTTCAGAGAAGCAGTAACAATTCCAGCAGCAAGATCTGCTCGATGTTTGCTGGATCCCGTGCACATATTTGGAAAGTCAATTACCCTATGCAATTCCTCCAAACTGATACGTTGTGACCTCCTCCAAAGGGAACCCCGGGATTTATCTTCTTTTGAGTGGCTCAACCCCATTAACCACGTTGCCACTTCAAGCATCTCAGAGTATGGAAGGATAGGGAACAATTTTGCATTCCACAGGCACTTTACCTGGGTTTCCTCAAAGCACCAGAGATCAGCATCTTGAATAGCTAGATCATTTAAGACCTTATCCCAGGGTTTCCCACAAAAGGTTCCTTCCTTTGAACGTTCATGTTTAGGGTTATCATGGACACCACAATAAACAATAACTTTTTGTGTGTATCCTACCAAGGGAACCTCCCAGAGGCAATGACGGTCAGGGAGCATGAATTTGAATGGATCTTCAGTAATCCTATTTCCTGCTCCGGGTATATGTACACCTACGACGATACATTGTGAACCAATCCGGACTCCACCCGAAATGGAGGAATCGTATACCAGGGAATCTTCCCCTACAGAAACACCAGAAGTTATTTGGCTGGATATGATAATACCTGAGTCAGCAATATCAGATTCTGTCGTGGCTGGGATGGAACACAAGTGCCTCCGACACACGAGCCTTGAACCGGAACTGCTCAGGTGATCCAGGACTTCATTTGAAGTTCCAAAATGCAAGAATAGGAGGTCATCTGTATAAAAATAATAATAATTTATCATCAAGACAAGAGCCCTCCAAACGCTAATTGCACAAACGAGAAGAATTTATCATCACGACAGGAGCCGTCCAAATGCTAATTGCACAAATGAGATGTTACAAAGTACAAAGATGAAAAGACACAGGCCAAACTTGGAATTAGAAAAGGAAAAGAAAAACAAAACAAAACAAAAGAAAACAAAAACGACAACATCAACCTACCCAGTATATTCCCTACCAAGTTGGGGTCTGGGGGAAAAAATAAGTACTAACGTATATATTTGTTTTCAGTAAGATGGCCACATACAAGCACAGTAGCTGAACATGTTTTGTTCTCCCAGTCCACTAACAAGCTTTTCACCCAAAGGCCGCTGCTTCAACCATGTATGCTTTGCGGGTACCCAAGCTGCCACAAGATCCTCATATAAGCTCACCTGCACATCTTGTATGAAGAAAAGACCCTTGAGTACACAAAGTTCAAAATGGAAAGTTCAACAAAATAATAATACCCCACATAGTGGGAAAAAAAGATTGTTATTGTCGAATTCCCTTGAATAAGAGAAGACCATAAAACAAACCAGCTTAACAATGTATGGTAATTGAGGAAACCTGCCTCTTTCCTGCATTCTAAAAGCTCCAATATCATTGGTTCGCTATAAAGGGCAAGCGTCAGGAGATCCACCCAAGCTTTTCCACGAACTGCAATAATTCCCGTATCCAGCAATGCTCTACCATCATCTAAGACAGCGCCATGCTCGGCAAGCTCCTTTAGGCTGGGTTTTTGAAGTAGATTCCCTACTAAACTAATTGCATAGTTTTCATCAGCAGTCATAGATTTTGATGCCACAATAACGCCATGGTTAGAAGCAATGTCAAGGGTTATAGGGACAGTAATTATGCACGAAGAATCCTCTGGAAGAAGCAATGAGCTGGCATCAAAGCAAGGAAGAACATCTCCTGTCATGGTGAATAGCCCACCTGTCCAACTCAATGTCGAAACACCCAAATAGTTATGATACAGACATCCGATACATAGGCATTTTATGTTCAAGAGGGAGAAGAAAAGTAACCTTCATTTTTAAAAGCTTGTCTAGCACAAGATGCAATAGCGAGTATATGATCAAAAAGAAGAGGAACAGGCCCATCCGGGTCATCTGATGCCAAATAAGGAAGGGGAAGGAAAACTTTTCCCATAGGATTAGCCCACGGGACCCTTTTAGAGTCACCTCCAGCATGCAGTAACAGTATATGCTTTTTAGTAACCAATTCCATCAACGTCAAGGGGAAAGGGTTATCCTTTCGGGATCTACCATTTGTTGTAGATATTGCCGGTCTTGAGGCGCCCGGATGGTTTTCCTAAAAACAGTAAGGCGTCCTATTTTAAGAAAGAACGCCTAGAATGGGTGGAGATAGGAAGACATCTTCATCAAGAATGTTCACATTCCAATTGTGAAATTCTAACAATAACTAGTGAAACATAGAATCTTTCAGATGGACTGAACTAGGCAAGGGAATTTAAACATAAAAAGATTGCAATTAAATATCTCTCTCAACTCTCTAACTATTTGTACTGGGTTGGTTAGGAAGCGCAATGTGGATTAAAAAGGTTGAAACTTTATCATAACACAAAAACCTTAACGTTTCAAAAGGCCTTACAAAAATATGGATGATATATCTGCCATCATATTCCGTACGAAGTGTGACATAACATTTGAGACAAACCAACCACCTCATTTCGGGTTTAATAAAGGAAACTCCAAAACACTTGGGACCGAATGGTTGTAGTTCAAAAAGATCACTGGAACCTTTGACACTCCTTTTTAAGTATCAGAAACCTTAAAAGAGTGAAAAATTCTCTCTTCTAAGTTTCAGAAACGTTAAGAGTGGCAATCTATCATTCTTGTAAGTATCTGGAACTTAGAAGATCGACGGTTCTGACCTTTGAAAGTATCAGACCATTAAAGATTAAAGCAAAAAAATCGCTCTTTTAAGTTTCAGAATACGACAACATCTGATTATCCGAACAAAACATTAAGCAATAATACGAGGTAAAAGTACCAGGATTGAAGAATCATCAGCATTAAGGTTGTTATTGTAGTATTGAGCAAGGGCGAGAAGTGCATGGAGAGTGGCGGCACCAGAGCCAATCCGGTGACCATTGGGGTCGGGGACGGAAAGGGTAACAGTACAAGGAGCAATCCGGCCGACCCGCTTAGCCCGTTGGAGCTGCCAATCATAGAGAAGAGCTTGTTCTGGGCTGGCAGCAGTGAGAATAATGGCATCCCAAGTCGGAACCCTGGTTGGATGGCGCACCGATAGCCTCAGATGATACCAAGCTTTCCTTAACGTGTTTTCCAGATTGGCTTTGGCTTTTGTTCTTCCCTTTTTCCTAATATTGCTGTTATCGGCTTCCATTGAAGAATGTTATTCTCTTGGATAATTGCTCCACCCAAATGGGAATTCCCACTTTTAATTTGAGGGAAACAGCGTAGTCGGCCGGGAACTGGCGCCAGAGGAGGAAAGTGAGTTGTTATAAACATAATTTTATTTATTGAGCTGAGAGGTTTGACAAATGGCGGGGATAGCTCAGTTGGGAGAGCGTCAGACTGAAGATCTGAAGGTCGCGTGTTCGATCCACGCTCACCGCATTTTACTTTTTCTCTTTTTTTTTTTTTTTGGACCGGGAAAAAATTATTCTTCCTTTCCTGGGAATGGCTAGCGAAAATAAAAATTTTCTGAGTATAAGGCAATTACTTAACATAGTAACTTAATTTATTTAACTACTTCATGAAATTACTAGTGATGTTTGGTCGCGCAATGCGCGACCCTGGTCCAATATATTTTATAAATGTTTGAAGAATTTAGAAATGTTTTATAAGTGTGATCATAGAAATGTTTGTATTTGGCATAAAAATATAAACATTTTGTATTTGGCCCTATATATTTTAGAAATGTTCAAAAAATTTAGAAATGTTTTATAAGTGTGATCATAGAAATGTTTGTATTTGACATAAAAAGAAATTGTATTTGGCCCGGTACGTTTTAGAAATGTTTGAGATTTTAGAAATGTTTTATAAGTGTTACTTCTTAAATATAAATAAACTTGATCAAATATATGTCTTGAAGTAAATGCTAGATAAAATATAAAAGCATCCTAATACGTTTAAATATTAGTAAGATAATTTATTGATGTTCCCCATTTGTTATGCCAAATCAATACTTAGTTTTGGAGATTTATAATAGATTTGTAGTAAGCTTCCTCCAAAGGTTATACGCTGAATTGTTAGAACTATTTCTTCCAAAAGTTTATGGGTAGTAAAATATCAAAAATATGATTTTGAAACTGGTTAATTGTTGAAACTGGTTGATCACAAATATGAGAATGAAAATAATGTAAATTTGCATAGGTTTCAAGTTATAGCAAAAAAGAACTCATCTCACCATGGCAAATAAAAAAAAAAAAAAGTAAAAGATAGCCCATTAAAAATTGAGAAATTTATTTTTTTTGTAAGTAAAAATAATGTATAAAAACACAAATAAACGTAGAATCATCATTCCTTCCCTCTCCACCTCAAATTCATAAAAGATTTCCCCATAAATTAGTTAGAAGAAGGGACCTGAACTATTTATATGATGAGGAACTAAAAAAAAAAATCCAAAAACCAAATCCAAAAAAGTATATTCTTGAAAGCCTGAAAAAAAAACGCTTCATTTGCAAATAAAATAAAATAATAATAATAATAATAATTGGTCAACTGGAAGTATGAAACAAAAATCAAAAGCAATTAAACAAAGAAAAAACACACTTCATAACTGATCATAATAATTAAAAAAAACCACTCTAATTGAATGAAACATAAAAAGGAAATTTAAAAAACCACACTTTGTAACAAAAATCCAATTAATCAATTCAATTCAAACAGAACTAAAATCATACAAAAATTCTAGGCTAACTAACCATATTAGAAATCACATCATATTACCTCACAACGGCTACGGTAGATGTAACGGATGGACGCATAAAAATAATAGCAATTACACTATTCTTGAACGGGAAAAATAAAAAATAATAAAAGCCAAACAAATGATCTGTGGAAATAAAATCATTTAAATTTTAATACCTGTAATGGCACCACCACAACGGCCGAAGCAAGATCAATGAGAATTTTTTTTCCTTTGTGTTTATGTAGAGAGGTAAAGAGAATATTTTTTGAAGTCGAAATTTTTTTCGATTAGGATGTAGTTGATAGGAAGGGAGTATATTTTATCACATATTCTCAATTGATGATTGATGAGGAATTTTTTTTTTTTTTTGTGGAGAAGGGATTGATTAGGGAGTCGATTGTCGTGGAGATGGAGATGAAGATTTGGGGTTTTTTATAAACCTGTGGGTTTTTTTTTTTTTGTTTTGGCGAAAATAGGAGGTGGAGGTAAATTTAGACTGTATTTGCCTTTTAAGTCTAGGAGATCTGGAAATAAAAATTTATTTTAAAATTATAATGTGAAAATGACACATGGCAAATGGTGGTGCTTTCTGTTTAGTGTGGTTTTTGTTTCTAATATAGTAAGAAGTGTGTTTGATAATCGTTACTAAAAAGTCTTAATGAACTAAGTTCTGAACTAATTAAATACTTATAAATTAAGTGTGTTTAATAACTAAAATTTCACTGTCTCAATTAATTAAGTGCGTCTGAATGACCAGTTCAATTGTGAGCCCGAAAATATGACCAGTTCAATTGTGAGCTAGAAAATAAGTGATAGGCCTACCACTTATCACTTATCACTTAATTTCTGTGATGACTCTTTTTTTTTCTTTTTTCTTTTTTTCCCTCGTCTTTATTTTGTCACTTATTTTTAAATTATTTTAAAATTTTTATTTTCTTAAGATAAATTAATTAAGAGTGCTTAAAGTTGAATTTATATTATGAGTATAAAAGATCTCAAACTTTCAAACTCAAATTAAACTAATTTTAATACATAAAATTTTTCTAAATAACAAGGTATACACATATATGTAATAATATAAATTTAATTATATATTGACAAGCCGTCGTCACAACTAGTCAAATAAATTTACCTACTTAACACTAGTATAGCGGAAAATAGGGTCGTACCCACAGAGAAGGAATACTAATTACCAGGTATAAATTACTCCTATTATTATCTAGATAAATGATGATTTTAGATTTATAAAATAGAACTAAAATAAATAAATAAAATAAAAGAAAATAATATTAATTCAAATAATCAGACAAAGAAAACCTATGACATTGGGTTCACCTACCGAATATTTGGTTTGATTCAATTCATAAATATCTGACTTTTAACTTCTATTAATCTCACAACGACTCACCTAATTAAGAACTATACACTCTCATGTTATAATTCTCTTACTTAGATTAAACGTATGACTACTCTCGTGACTGTAGGGATTAAACAAAAGCACATTAAGACCATTAAAAGTCAAATATTGCAAAAGTTATAATCTTACTCTCGTAGCTTACAACCTAAGTTTATTATTCCTACGAACTAATACTAATCTTCCACTCTCGCTACTTCGATTAGTATCTTCAGACATGCAAATAGTGGCCAATTACTTACACGAATTAAAACAAGAATAACAAATATTAATTAATAGAAAAATCAAATAATAATGGACCAAATAAACCAAATAAATTCGGTGGCTACACCCAAGCCCTAGATTAAAAGAATTTAGCCACTAAACATTATTAAAAATAATTCAATTATATTTAGAGACATAATTAAAAAAAAACTAAATTAAATAATTAAAACTCCAAACCCCGAGAATAGAATAGGGCAGCCGAATTGGAGACTTGAAGTCCACAGCTGATGCTTGCTTTCTCTTCTCTTCCTCGGCTTCTGCTGGTGCGTGGAGGCTTCGGTGGTGTATGGTGATGGACAAGTGTCACGGGCTTACTTTTTCAAAGTAACGGCCGTGCGGCACTAGCACAAAACAACTAACGATTAAGTGCTAGCTCAGCCTTAAGACCCCCAAAGCGTGCAAAGCTAGGCGAGACTTTAAAGAACGGAGGCAAAGAAAAACTTAAGAAAGGTTGAAAGTGAAAGAATGGTGAAGGCACAAGAGAGCTTAAGGAATGCTTGAGAACTCTACTCAAAGCTTGGATGATTACAAATGAAGGGGGCATGGGGTATTTATAGGCAAACCCCAAGTCCTAAAGAATTCTAGAGAATTCTATGTACATAATAAAATAATGGGATTCTAGAGAATTCCTACAATAAAATATTCTAAGTTCAAAATATCTACAAGTCTCTAGAATCTTCCACACGGTTCTAGCAAACTCGGGTAGCTTCCACACGGTTCCACTCGTTTCTAGAGAGTTCCGGCCTCTCTAGAAAATTCCGAGTCTTCAAGATTTGACTGGAGAATTCCACAAGGCTCTAGACCGTTCCGTCCCATGTCCGTCTACGAAAATAGCCCGTTTCGCATCAAACCACCCGAATTCGTGGTGAAGAAAACTGTCCGTGACATCCTCCCCACCAAAATGGTGCATCGCCCGATGCACCTAAGTCTCGAAGGCAATGTTGATAGGAATGGGTGCACGATTCTCCTCAAAGTCCTCGATCAATTTGGTGAATTGCCAAAGCTTCTCGATTGGCTCCCAACTCGTCTCACTCATTGGCAAATTCTTCCATTTCACCAAGTATTCTTTAGTTGCTGCCCGCTCCCGCCCGAACGATCCTCTTAGAAAGGATCTCCTCTGCGGTCCGTTCTCATGCTCGCGTACGCCACCGGTGCCCTTGTGGAAACGTTCCGTTCTTCGTCCTCCGGGTCCTTGCGGTATGGCTTAAGTAGGCTCACATGAAAGACTGGATGAAGCCTTGAGAAGGCCTCGGTAGCTCCACTTGTAAGCAACCGAACCCACTTTCTTAAGAACGGTGAAAGGACCTCGTATCTGCGCATGAGACCCTTGTGTAGACCACGGCTCCGTCCATGTTCATAAAGCTTCACCAAGACTTGGTCGCCTTCTTCAAACTCGCGACGGGTCCGTTTCTTATCCGCCCATTTCTTCATGCGCGCGGTGACTTCTCCAAGTAGAGTTTTGCCTCGTCGGCCCGTTCTTGCCAATCTTTGGCAAACTTGTATGCGGGTGGGCTATTGCCCTTGTAGCCCCAAGAATGTCCTTAGGCGTAGTCGGTTGGAAACCAAGGATAATCTCAAACGGACTTTTGCCCGTGCTCTCACTCCGCATCAAGTTATAGGAAAATTGGGCAACGTCTAGCAAACGTACCCAATCTTTCGGTTGGCTGCCACATAGTGCCTAAGGTACACCTCCAAGAGGCCGTTGATGCGCTCCGTCGCCCATCCGTTTGCGGGTGCAAAGATGTAGACATCTTGAGCTCCGTCCCAAGCAAACGAAAGAGTTCTTGCCAAAACGGCCGGTGAACCTTGAGTCCCCGTCGCTTATGATCGATGTAGGCGTCCCAATACTTCACCACATGCCTAAGAAAGAGTTTGACCGTTATCTCCGCGGTGCACTCTTTTGGGGCGGGAATGAAGACCGC